TCAAATAAATATGACTTTGGATTATATATTATTAAGAATATCGTAATTTAGGCATAAATCAATAATGTGTGTGTGTGTGTGTGTGTGTGTGTGAGAGAGAGAGAGAGAGAGAGAGATTAACTCAATTTAAAAGTCAAATTTTTATTATTCTTACATTTCAATCGTTTATTATAATAGCAAAAAACTTTCATTTCTCATTTCCCTAACAATTTGTATAAAGTTTTTCGCGCATTAATTGTCTTTAATTTGCATAAATTTATAATTCATGTTTTATTGTTGCTGTGGGTGTGTGAGTGTGTGAGTGAGAGAGAGAGAGAGAGAGAGAGAGAGTATATGAGATTATTATATTTATGATCAGATTATTTATTTATGTCTCAAATATTGATGTGTTTAACAATTTATATCCAAATTATTTATTTTTTTGAAATCAAAGTTAGGATTCCTTGAGAACCGATATCTCACGGGAATCGGTGTTCTCTATAAACTCGTGGCTTAATATAAACTATAAAATAGTAAGCATGTAATACACTGTACAGAGTAGTATATACATTTCTATTATTTATTACATGACATCTAAAATAATAATTTATTCAAATTCATTAATATTCAGTCATTTGTGTATATATTTTTATGGCATACGAAGTAAAGAAAATTTTATTTTTTATATATTTTTGTGTCCATTTAAATATTTATCAAATTTCGCTTACAATTTGAATAATGATAAGTGAAATCTGTATGTGTTTTACCGAAACAAATACGGTCTACTCACGATTCTGAGTAATTTTTATTTTAATATTATTAATGTGAGAATTGTTAATTTTATGTCTAATTGATAGCTAATTAACTTAATATATTTAAATGGAATTTTTATCAAACATATTTTTATCATTACTTTAATTAAATTACTAAAGTAACAAAAGTAAAAATAACATTTTATCAAAATTTAACTGATTGTATGTAATTTATTTATTGATAATAATGCGGCCCAATATGTTATCAGGGACAATAAATTGCTCCAATGCCTTTCCAACTGACAGCACCGGTGTGTCCCAGTGTTAGCCACTACTCTATAAGTTAGGTCTGCGAAAATCAATAACTCTTTGATTATATCATTCCTCATGAGTTTTGTTAGCTTTTCGCCAATTATTATCAGTTTTGTTCACTACTAATGATACCATTGATTCTCATTAAATGTTTTTCTCTTTAATAATATCTATTATACAAATGACATGAAAAATCGCAGCATATTTGTTACACAATCTTACGACTAAATTAATGGCAACTTACAAGTGAACATCATTTTTAATTAAAATTTTAAACAATGGTTTACAACGTGTCAGTGAAATAGCATTTCAAAAATGTTTGCTACAGATATTTCTATGGTATAACTATATGGTATACCGTATAACTTATTTTTGTAAGTTTTAAATAAAGTGTCAAAAAAGTTTTAATCTCAAAGATGTAGTATATTTTTATTTTTGAAAATTTTTGTCAGTTTAAGAATATATGGCATACAATCTATTCATGTTTTCAGTCAATTATTTCTCACATCTCTCTCTCTCTCTCTCTCTCTCTCTCTCTCTCTCTCGATAACATTCTCTTGTATTCTCTCGCTTATCATTAAAAGTAATTGAAATTCACATAAAACCTAATTTGTTGGCAATGTTTTCCTTAAAGGGCTGAGAGTTTATTCATGTGTCGGATTGCCAGGGGTTTAATAAAGCAAATAATGCATTGAAATCTTGACAAAACTTTCATAATTAATTTTCGATTCTCTTAATTTATTTAATCGCTATAAATTATCAATTATGGTTAGACTATATTGCTATTAGGTGACACCCTGGTGCTTCCATCATGTCTAAGATATATCACAAACACTGAACGTTAAAATAGCGGAACACAAGAGATAGTGAAGATATTTGGTGTTCATCTTATTTCTTATACAACCATATCATGACATACCAGTGCACACAAAGCGGCTGCTAATCGCTGACCATTTATGTCAGACTTTATACTAATATATTGCTTTCAATTAATGGTTGAAACAGATGCTCATTGTCTTAGACACTGAGTGAGTGAGTGAGTGAGTGAGTGAGTGTGTGTGTGTGAGAGAGAGAGAGAGAGAGAGAGAGAGAGAGAGATTTATTATTATTTGTAATAAATGTTGTCATTTTTGATATGAAACTACTAACGAGAGAGAGAGAGAGAGAGAGAGAGAGAGAGAGAGAGATTTACATAATTTAGACGATTAGTTTATTATTTATCATTTTATAGTGTATTTATCATTAAAAGCTAATTACTTTACATTTTGCTCACTTTATCATTAATTTTAATTACTATTAATTCAAAACACAGAATATTCTTTGATCAAAATTAATACTGGATATTCAGGATGTGTAAGAATATGAGAAAATACTGCATAGAAATTTATATAAAGATGAAATTTTTATTTAAGTTGTAAAAATCTAATCTACTTTATAAATGCTTTTGATTTGATCTGAGGATTTAAAAAGTATTGCATTTCATACCATTAACTCTATACTACACTCTACTAACTATTAATACTAAAAACACAAATTTCTAAATAACTATAAATTGTATGACTCTTAAAACCATTTGGGGTATTTGAAATCAATATATAATTTCTTTCTGAGAGTACTTTACTTCGCTTTTTATCAGCGATTTGTTTCGATAGATTTGACTTAAGGATATGATATAGTGTGTTGGGGGTCACCAAAGGTGTGCCCGGGTTCGCACAAATCCATGTCTAATATATCACACGTTTATCAGATGTATATTTGTTAAAATAGTATGTATTTATTTGGGCACCGATTCTGTGATTTATATAAAAAATTTCATTTAAGAAATGGTTTTACATGTGATTTATTCGTCGATTCTTAGAAGTGTTGGGAAAGTGTTGCGAAGGTATGGGTTGGGAGAAAGTGGGCTAATACTGGCAGTAATGAAATGGCAATACAAATAAAACACACAAAACATATCATTTGACTTAAATAGAGAGTGCATTAGAGATAGCTATCGTATACTACTATTATTCTTAAAATAAAAGCGGATTTACTTTTTGTTTTTTGATTCGCTTTTGGGCTTAAAGTTGAAAAGTTATAGTCTTTGCCCAAAATAGTGATACCAATGAAAACTTCTGGTGAATGTAAAAAATGTTGTGAATGCTAAACGTTAAACCCATGATTCTTATGAGCATTATTCTTATGATAAAGTATGAGAATTATTAGGAATATCTTTTTTTATATGCAATTCCGATATATAGGTTATTCTGTATATTCTCCAGTCATTTCTCCCTTTCCTTTTCTCTTTATAAAACATTTTCCAGATTCGCTTCACTAAGCAATAAGTATTCTGTTTTTCTCCCATTCCTTCCCAATGCCGTTCCCTTTATATACATGTTCTCTTAATATTACATTCTCTCTCTCTCTCTCTCTCTCTCTCTCTCTCTCTCTCGAGCGCTCTGTGTGTGACATAAAGAATACAATCATATCTGGGATTCATTATTCTTGTGAACAATCTCTTGAGTCCCTCTTTTTTGTCGGCGTATGGATGTATGGATCAGCTCAGTCTCAGCACTCATATATACACTCGTATTCCTCAGCTCTAAGAGTGTGAGCTTTCAGTGCCATTACATCTCATAACAAATGGATTATTGTTTTGTTTAACTCTTTATATCACAAACACATAGTGTATATAATATGTCACAAGAATATTCTATCCATTAATGTATATATCATATAAGACATTGCATTTTGAAAAGTTTTTAATTAAATTTGTTGCACAATAGGACATGATTTGTGTTTCATTTATCACTACTCTATTCACATTAATTAAACTCTAAATATATATTATACTGAATATCGAGAAAATTCTTTAATTAAAGTTATTTTGCTTTAAAATTAATTAATTAATTATCCCAATTATGAACTATAAGAATTCATTGAAATGAATGTCATTCAAAATGTTTACAGTATTTATGCCTAAAGAAAACTAAAATTTAAATAAATTTTGTATATTAAGAAAAATAATAGATAAGAATATGTTCTTTGAAATGATAGATAAGTATTAAAATAAGTACTTTTTGGTGGATTTATTGTGAATGAAATGTAATTTTTGTGTTTTAAATAACAAAAGAATCGCATATTTTAATGATTAATGAAATAATAATTTAGTTTTTAAAACAATGGCTTACAATATATGAGAAGACATTAACAAAAGAGTTATGTAATGCTAGAGATATAAAATGCTATTATATAACAGTAGTCATTAGTAATCTCTATCTCTCTCTCTCTCTCTCTCTCTCTCTCTCTCTCGTTAGTAGTTTCATATCAAAAATGACAACATTTATTACAAATAATAATAAATACATTGCAATAATTGACGCAAAACTACAGCAACTTTTACCCCAACCCTATGCGACAGACTGTTATGATTATGAGAGCAATCGTATGACGAAAGCGAGTGTTGGCCCCTTTAGGTCTCGGCTGACATACAATCTTCACTACTTTGCTAATCTCATAGTTTTCACACCTGTGTTAGACATGACCTTAAATCTACATTAAGTTTTATAATTGGTAATAATATCAGATAGGAATGAGAGCTTTGTTTTGCCTGATCATTTCTTATTGGAAACTAAATGCAAAATTGAATGCAATAATTATAAGTGTAAATCAGAATTAAAAGTATCAAAAATCAAGTGTATTTATTATTTAAAATTGGTACCAAAAATGTAATATAAAAATTCAATAATCAAACATTTATAATCAAATGAAACTTTCATTACGAAAGTCAATCATAAAAACATAATTAAGACTACAATACAATATTGCAATAAAATGAACATAAGATTGAAAAGTTGGCAAATTATGAATGAATAATATAATGATTTAATCTAATAATACCACCAAAACTAGTGGTATATAATTTGAGTGCAAAAATCAAAACAAATGCCATATTCAGGCCACGAGATCAATAGACATCTAGTCTTCATCGTTATCGGTGTCGCTTAGGGCCTCCTCTTTGATCTCTACGACATCCATGTCCTCCTCCTCCTCCTCGTCATCATCGCTGGAGATCTGTTCCTCTTTCACCTCTTCCTTCACCTCTTTCTTGATCTCAAGTTTGATCTCTTTTTTTATGCCGGCTTTGGTGTCCATCAGTTCAGACTTAATCTCTCGCTTAATGTCATACTTCGAGTCCATATCCTCGTCTTCAGACTTGATCTCTTGTTTGACAATAAACTTCTTGTCGTTGTCTTCGTCCTCATCGTCATACTGAGCGTCAAACTCATCATCTGTTTCTTCGTCATTGGTCTCCACTTCTTCTTTGATCTCCTTTTCGTTCAACTCTTGGGTATTGTCTTTCATATCAAGACTCAGAACCGTAGTCTTGAGGTCTTTGAAGGTCGTCCTATCGCTGTCCAACTTCTTGATCATCGACGCCATCCCCGTCTCCACGCGAGACAACTTTGTCTTATAATCCTTGTCGTACTTCGTGTCAAACTCGGGATCAGCTTTGATGCGTTTGATGGCCTCCTGTTGAGCGGCGATCGTGATGTCGATGGCGGCCAAAGAGGTGGACGCCTTGTAGTACTCGTAGAGGATGTGTGTATTGATGAGTGACTCCCACCTCTTCAGGCGACACATGTATTGGCGGCGCTTCTCGTCGTCCAACGCATTCACCTCTTCGTCCGATTTGATGTCAATCTTATAAAAGGCGAGAAAGTCTTTGATCTCTTTGCGCGACAACACGTCGCTGTAGTCGTCATCGGCGGTCACAGCGCTATCATCGGCGCTGGTGTTGGTGTTGGACGCTATGGACGCACTCCGCGGCGACGCTCTCTTAGCGGCGGCTCTACCTCTGTGGCGGACAACCATCGTGTGGTACGAGTGATGGGATGTGTTTCAGTGATAACACAACTAATGGCTGAATGGTATGTAAGAGTGGTTTGAAACGTTGGATCAACTGATGAATGGTATGAATGGCGTGAATGTGTGCACAAGTGGTGTGTTTATGACAGAATGCAATGTTTTTGACGCATTTCAATAAACACTGTTCAGTGACTGAACGGTGTGTTCAAAACGCGCGTTAAGTGTTCATCACATATAACGTTACGATCATTCGCCCCCTTCTCGCATATTTTAGTGGTACTCATATAAAAACCTTTCCACTAATTAGCAACCCTTCCCCCTATTATATATGCACTTCTTTTCTAAATGATATTTCTTAATACAAATAAAGTACACAATATTCACAAATTACGATACTCTTTGAAATTTACTGATTATTCCGTGTTTTGCCCCCTTTTGTAATAAATAAGCAAAATATATTGAAAACTTATATAATTTATTATGTTTTTTTGGTAATTAAATACAATTAATAATTTAAAAATATATATTTATATATAACTCTGTCTCCAAAACACGCATATTATTACACTGTTTATAATGAACTACTAATTAGTAAGTGTTAAGCGAGTTATTATGATATGTATGTATTCTTAACACAGGTATTACAGGTGTGGAGAGAATATATTATTAACAGGGTTAAAAACAATTAAAGCTCAGCATGCATTTGTGGTTAGTATTTATTAACGTATTAGAAGTGTATTTTAACAAAAGTATTATCACAACTGCCTGTCCAACAGCGCCGGTGTGTTTGCGGGCGAGTCAATGCATGAGTGACCTAGTACGCTCAATCCTACCCCGGGTCACGGGTCTTACATGACCTCTGAGGGTGACCTGAGTGTTGGACTCCTCCTTCAGAGTGGCCATTAAATCCAGTTTCTCTCGCAATCGCTTCTCCTTTTCCACTTTGTCTGTCCATAACTTCAGGTTTGTTCTGTGGTTCGGAGGGAACGGTATGTTTAAAATTAGTTTTAAACTTTTATAACGATTACATGTTTGTGCGCCGGTATTCTCGTATTACAAGCAATTTCGTATGCAATTAGTTTAATGACTGTCAGAAATTTAATATTAGTTTTTATAATTTACTTGATTTTTAGGTATAAAAATGATTTTCAATAGAAACTCTCGATAAAGACTTTAGACTTTGAGGTGAGACCAGACTTTTGTGATTATCAGTAAATCAGTGTTTAGTAATACAGTAAAAATGTGAACCCATCTGTAAATCCCTGCTTTAATTGATTATTATATTTGATAAGAGAGTCATAAATATATTGAAATCACAAGTTTGCTGCAACTTTTTAAATTAGTTTCGCAAATACTGGTAAACTTTAGTTTCTATTTATTTAACTTTGCATATCTCCTACTGATTAGGTATGCTCGACATACCGGCGCACTTTTAATGATAATTAAACAAACTATTTAATACATACATGCAATGATTTAAGTAAACCCTGGTGTTTGGCAATAATTGTGTTAATAGTTTGAAGCATGGAATCGATATATTGGTCAAGAAGTCCACTTGAGAGGCTGGTTGCTCGTGAACCTTATCCCTGTCCATCAGTGGTATTGGCTTACGACCCAACTCTTTCTCAATATCTCCCTGAGCGTAGAACTCCTCGAACAGCTCCTTCACCTGTTCCCTGGCCTCCATCCATGGCCTGGCCGTTGAGTTGAGGTCCGCGGCGGTCATCGAAATGGCTTCTAATAGTGATCTATTGAATAAGATTTATACACATTTTTATTATATTCTGTAAGTTGTGAGCATTTATTTACTTGTGCTCTATATTATCCCAATCAAATGTTCCTGAGTTTAGGATTTTCTCTAATTTGGCTTTATTTGGGAAAAATAGGGCCAAATCTGTGGCCAAAATGCAGTGTTTGATGAGTGATAACACCTTTTTATAGTCCGCTGTCGACAGTGTATGCAGAATATTGTGTCCATTTTGCTGTCAAATACAAACAATTCAGACATTTCGATGAGAAATACAAAAATATTTATAAAAACCAATTAATTTCTGACTTCGGTTTCATAGTAATGTTATATTTCTTCACAAATTAATGCCCTATAAAACGATTACCTAATACAATCGCATTATTTGCTATTGAGTGAACGTTATACACTTGCCAAACCAATATCACCACCACGAGATTACCCCTACACCACATATACCGCCGATTGCCGCGCCTACTCACCTACTCTTTAACTAACCAGGTTCCCCTGTGGTCGAGATCATGGCAGAGGCCGCTCACGAAAAAGGCCAACTTCTCGAGTCGGGTGAACCGGTCGGAGTCGTGGATAAACACGTATAGACTGTGGGCGACACTGAATCCGTGGGTCCAGTTATGGTAGGGAACGCGCCGGTAGTTTTTGCGAACGCTTAACGTGAACCTAGTGTTTATGAGACAATTAATCATCATGATAGATAATAACTGGTCTGTTAGTAATTTGTTTCGCTATGGTATGTCTCGTAGAATTGTCAGATAATTATTTTAAATGCCATTCCTGTCGAGTATGTTATACCTGTAGAGGTCATCGTTGTCCAGATTAGGAATTCCGCTGATTTGTTCAAACACTTTGATTGAAGTCAAAAGTTTGTGGTCATCACTCAAATAGTAGGGTGAAAACGATGTACTAATAAACACATTACAAATAATAACATCAATTAAAAAATCAGATAAATAGCTATAACATGGTTTATGCCTTACTCTAAGACCTGGGGTGTCTTGAATTTGATGACGTCCTCCCGTGTGCGCTCCAGTTCCTCGCTATTACTAGTGTTATGATAGGACAGTATCTCGAGCGCCACCTTATTCTTCTGC